GTTGCCCAGGGGAGGCCCCGAGGCTGGCCAGGGGGAGGGCCCAGGCTGGCCAAGGGGGAGGGCCCAGGTTGCCCAGGGGGAGCCCAGGCTGGGCCACGGGGGGAGGGCCCAGGCTGGGCCAGGGGGAGGGCCCAGGTTGCCAGGGGGAGGGCCCATGCTGGCCACGGGGAGGCCCAGCTGGCCAGGGGAGGGCCCAGGCTGGCCACCGGGGAGGGCCAGGCTGGCCAAGCGGGGGAGGGCCCAGGTTGGCCCAGGGGGGACGGGCCCAGCTGGCACGGGAGGCCCAGGGCTGGCCAGGGGAGGCCCAGGCTGGCCAGGGGGAGGGCCCAGGCTGGCCAGGGGGAGGGCCCAGGCTGGCCAGGGGGAGGGCCCAGGTTGGCCAGGGGGAGGGCCCAGGTTGGCCAGGGGGAGGGGCCTGGCTGGACAGCATCCATGGGCCCATGTTTCTGTCTGGACACTTCAGGGGTGGGGTCTGCAGGCTCCTGGGGTCACAGCCCTGCCAGCTCTTGGTCCCTTCCTGGGGGCACTGGGGGCACAGAGGACTTACCCCGGCCATGAGGCCCTGGGCCTCCCTCACGGTGGCTGCGGTGCTGAGCACGGCCCCCAGGCTCAGGAGGCCTGCCAGGCTCATTCCCACGTAGAAGGCTGGTGGGAGGCGGGGAGGGGGTCAGGGGCGCCAGGACAGGTCCGGCCACCCAGGGGCTGGGTCTGAAATGCCACATGGGCGTCACGGGCAGGGCTGGACTTCTGGGGAGGCTCTGGGCCACGGGTCCCTCAGACATGGGGCCCCCACCTCCTTCCTGTGCTGCTCAGAGGGAGGGGCCACCCCTCCCCTACTGCCCGCCCTGCCCTCCCCGCCTCCTGAGCTATCTTGGAAGCCACAGGCCCCCATTCTCTAGTGACAAGTGGCCTCTGGGCTGTAATCTTATCAGTCCAGACTGGCCCTGGGACTGGGGAAGGGCAGTGGGTTACAAGGCAGCAGGGCCCCTGGGGCTGGGGCTGCCTGTGGGACCCTGGGTGCAGCTTTCCCACCCCACCTCCCGGCCACCCCCCTCCCTGGGGGGAGCTGAGAACAGAGGTGTGTCGGAAGCCAGGCCCTTTCCCCACCCGTTTCCCCGGCAGGGCTCTCCCGTGTCCCCAGCTGTTTGGGGGTAGCTGGAGGGCTGCCTTCTCCTCCCCTCCTCTCTTTCTCTCTCTCCCTAACTCCCCTCCTCTCCCCTCTCCTCCTCTTTCCTTCCTCCCCTCCTCTCCCACTGCTCTTCCTCTCCGTCCTCCTCCCTTCTTCTCCCTCCTCCCTCCCTCTCTCTCTTCCTCTTCCCTTACTTCCCTTTCTCTTCCCTTCTCCCTCCCTCTGCCTCCCTCTTTCCTCTTTCTCTTCCTCTCTCCTTTCCATGACCTTCCTGCCCCAATCCTCCTTCCTTCCTTCCTCCCCTCCTTCCCCCTTTCCTCCTCCTGCCCTCTTCCTTCTCTCCCCTTCCTCCTCTCCCCTCCTTCCTCCTCCTCCCCCTTCCTCCTCCCCTCCCTCCTCCTCCCCTTCTCTCCCTTCCTCCCGCCCTCCTCTTCCCCTCCTCCTCTCCCACCTCCGTCCTTCTCCATCTCCCCTTCTGTCCTCCTTCTCCCTGCCTTCCTGCTTTCCCTTCTTCCCTTCCCATTCCCTGTCTTCCTCCTCCTCGTCCTCTTTTCCCTTCCTCCCCTCCCTCTCCCCTCCCCCTTCTCCTGGGCCCTCCGCTGGCCTGGC